GCTAAGCTCATTCTCTGCGCCAACAACGACGGAGACGTTAATCGTACGCCAAACTCCAAAAGGAGACCAGCTAATAACAGTAAACAGCCTATGAGCAGCAGCTCCAGGAAAAAGCCCTCGTCGTACGGAGCCTCGAGGCGGTCCGTGTTGAAGAAAAGCTTCAGCCAGGAGCAGGTGGCATTCACGGGGCCGCTCTCGGCCGACCCCTCCGTCGGGATTATCGGAGGTGGGATGTCCGGCCTCGTGTCCGCGCTTTATCTGGAGAAGAGAGGCATCAAATCCACTGTATTTGACACGGTCCGAGCCACTCTCTTTCTATTTCCCTCTCTTAAATTGTTCTTGAGAAATGAAATGGCGTTCTGCTGAAAATTTGAGCTCGTAGTGTGTTTATTTTGTGAATCTTACTGTTGTTTGATTGTGCCACACTGAAACTATGATATTTTTTTTTTTTTGGAAATTATGGTGATTCTGCCGGCTCTATGAGCTCAATGTGCACGGGTGACGGCTTTTCCCGTGGAAAAAATTGTGAAAGTTTTATGGATTTGCTGAATCTAATTTTTGTGATGTGCTCAATTGACTGGTCTGCTAGCACTTGAGAATTTAAGGAGCCAGAAAGTGTTTCAAAGATAATTGATAGAAGCATGAATGCAGGAAACAAGAGACTTGGAGGCACTCACTAATTAAAAAATGAAAGTAAATTTGTTGATAGATTAGGTTTTAGCTGCTAATGGGTATCGCTTTTATCTCAATCAGGTCGATAGATATGTTTGATAAAACTTTGCTTTAATTATAATTCAGTAGTGCACCTCGCTGGCTTTATATTATCTTTGCCGATATGAATATGCATTTTATATGAACCCAAAAGTTCTTGGAGATTCTTATTTATGATTATTTACATTATGGACTTACGGGTTAGGAGTAAGAATGTTGATAGATTAGGTTTTAGCTGCTAATGGGTATCGCTTTTATCTCAATCAGGTAGATAGATATGTTTGATGAAACTTTGCTTTATGTATAACATGTCAGTAGTGCATCTAGCTGGCTTTGTATTATCTTTTTGTTGATGTGAATATGCATTTTATATGAACCCAAAAGTTCTTGGAGATTTTTATTTATGATTATTTACATCAGGGACTTCACGGGTTAGGAGGAAGAATGGGAACTAGGATTATTGATCCTCAGCCCTTGACTTTTGACCATGCAGCCCAGTTCTTCACGGTTACTGACCCTGAGTTTGCTGAGATGGTAAGCCTATGGTCTAAAAATGGTCTTGTTCGTCAGTGGCATGGCGCAATTGGAGAGCTTGAAGCTGGTGGACGTATTGACCCACTTCCTACTTCGCCTCCAAAATACATAGGAGTTAACGGGATGCGCCCTCTTGCGGAATCCATATTATCTGAGGTGTGGTTTTTCTTTATCTTGTAATATATCCGTACCACATGAAGTACATTATTAAGCCTCAAGTATGATAAGTCTCAGAATTTGCTATTGAGAACTAAGTTATGTAATATGTTTAGAGCTAACCACTGAGGCATGTAACAGGTTTATAGATTGGAACTTAGGTAACATAGCCTTTTGCTCATGTTTTCAAATTTCAATACAATTGATACCCTTTCTAAGCATACAGTTGGTCTAAATGTATAATTATGGGATATAATAGGTACACATATATCATGAATGTTTGTTGTTTATCACCAACATTTCCCATTTATTTGGTGTGATGAATTTTTATGTCGAGCTTTAGAATAATCCCGTTTTTATCATTTCTCGCGTAACCCATTACGAGGCCCATGATAATAATATTGATCTTATTTTGTCAGGGTTTTATAAAATAAACATCCTTGTTATCATGTGACTGGTTAAAGACTTATTCTGCAAGTATTTTTTTCACCATGTGTGAGCAAGTGCTAACCTGTTAATTATTCTTCATCGGCATATGGTTGATTATGAGTTGAAATTGACCTGTTGCAGACTTCCTTGGTTAATGTGGTACGACCTTGTTGGGTTAGTAAACTGGACCCATATAATGGGATGTGGTACTTGAGTGAGAAGGGAAAGCCCTGTGGCCACTTTGATATAATTGTTATTGCACATAATGGTGAGCACTCTACCACAGGCTAATCGGATAATTAAATTTGCATGTAGTTAGCAGAACTTGATTGTCCATAAAAATTATACTAGACCATTGTGTCAGAATTTGGCTTTCCTTTTTCCTAGGATTTTCCAGCTTTTTAGATTTTCTCAGGGTTTTCAGTCTTTCAGGTTTGCATTTTTGCTTTTCAGCCTCTTTTTGGCCTTTGTTAACTTTCTAGTCTTAAGATTTGGTTGTGCGTCTTTGAGATTCATATCACTCTGTAAGTCATTCTTCTAGAGCTTACGACTCCTTTACAAACTTCGTCCAGCAACCAGCATGAACCTTTCTATCCCATAATTATATTATCAGTCTCTAAGCATTCTTAAGCAAGCTACAAATACGGTCATCTGTCGGATACTGAATTTCTAGTCAATGGTGAAGTGGTTTGTATATTTTGCTTTATGACTCCTCCATTGGTGCTTGTACATGATAAGTGTTTTTGGGGAAAGAAAAAACCATATTTATGTTTATATATTCATAAAATCTGAGCTAGACTAATTGGTTTTTCCCACCCATTCTTCCTTGCTATAACAGAATAGTAATTTTACATTGAAAATAAAATCGTATATAAATTTGTGTTTTTGATAGTGTTTGCATGTATTAATTGTTATGTTTATGTCTTGCCTTTGCTCTTTTGAACTTAGATAAATTTTCATTTCGGATTATTTTTTGGTTTACCATACATCAAATTAGTAATGCTTTTACAATCTTCGAATTAACATTTTTATTTCACATACACCCCCACCCCCCGAAAACATGGTAGATAGAAAATATAGAATGATATTTAAAATAATTGATTTTGTATCTGTATGAACTTTTTCTGTCATTTCATTTTCTCAGATTTTGAAATGATTCAAATTTCAGAAAGTTTACTGGGTATGAATAATCTAACATAACCCATTCGGTGTATCGCACGGGATGAAATACTAATATCTATAATATGAGCACCTTCTTACTGTATGTCGCACCAGGAAAATGTGCAAATCGACTACTTGCTTCATCAGGGTTACCCCTAATTGCCAGACAAATGAAGGTAACTTTGAGACCTCCTGGCTCAACTGCTCGTAAACAGCTCCTTCATTTTATATATTTGTATTAACATTCAGCATCTAATACTTAATACAGAGACTCGATTTGAGTTCTATATGGGCTCTTTTGGCAGCATTCAATGAGCCCCTTCCTGTCCCCTTAGAAGGAGCCTTTGTTAAAGGAATTGATTCTCTCTCATGGATGGCGAATAACACTGCCAAACTCTCTGGTGCACAAACCAGTGGACCTCATTGTTGGACCTTCCTCAGCACAGCAGGTTTTGGAAAGAATAATAAAGTCCCCCAGGTTGGTTTTAAAATGATGAACACGCAATGCTCAGAGACTTTACTTCAGACACGTGCTTCCTCAGAATGAAAAAAATAAAATAAAATGGAAAAATAAAGTTGCAGAAATCATCCTTAAATCCTATCCGAGAGTCAGTGTAACCCTCTTTGGACTATTTGTGTAGAAAGCGGAACAGAATCATAAATTGAATATGAATTCCGCACAAAGCACCTGAATAGATACGTGTTTTTTTTCCTTTCTTTTCCCTTTTTTCCAGGAAAGTATTCCTTCTAGTACAGCAGAAAAGGTGAAGGAATCCATGCTTGAAGGCGCTGAGATTGCCCTGGGCCTACAAAAGAACTCACTTGAAAAGCCTTTCTACAGTCGAGTACAATTATGGTACGTGGTAATATCGTAATTTTGTCGTGTAAACATACATTCCAATTGTGAAGATACTTAATTCCTTTCCTATACGCATATTCATATTGATAGAAGATATATATTTGATCATTTAATCTACATTTGGCGATCTCGTTAGAGAATTCTCTGCTGTATTTTGTAACATGAGCTGCAAGTAATTAAGCTAATTGCTATGGTTTGAAGCAACTGTTATATAACTTACAGGGGTGCAGCTCTTCCCACAAATTCACCTAAGATTCCCTGTATCTTTGATTCTCATGGGCGAGCTGGCATATGTGGTGATTGGCTATTGGGATCAAGCTTAGAATCTGCAGCTTTAAGTGGAATGGCTCTCGCTAATCATGTAAGTTTTCTACCCTTCAAATTGTCTTTTTTTCATGGGGCTTCATATTTGTATTTTCAATATTAAGGTTAGATGTAGACAGATAATAAATTGTTTCGTCTGTAGAAATTATACCATAATGTTTTTGTTTCACATTTCAAAACAAATGCTTTGGTAGGTATAAAACAATATTAATTCAATACTGCGAGTAAATTGTTTTACCGAGTTTATATTGAAATAAATTATATTTTACATCCAACTCAATTGAGGTTTTTGTGCAGATTGCAGATTATGTCCAAAGTGGTGGAACAAGGCCAGATGATTTTGCTGTAGGCTTGCATAACGAATTTCAACCACTCGAAGGACATGATATTGGACAGTTTCCTGGATTGAAGTGTGAAAAAGTGACAAACAAGACCCACGATTTGCAAGTTACCGCATAAATCTGCATCCCGTTACACATTTTTCGGAGCTATTCTGCAAGCTTCTTGATCATAAGCTGTCTCAGGTTAGGTTTTATCTTGTATCCGAACGAACAGGGGATAAAAGGTATGCTCTTTCCTTGGCACTTTTTTTGTTTGCGATTGCTTGATCTGATATTGCATGGCGAAAAGTTAAAGGCTAAGATTTTCCTGCTTTTTTGTATATACAGGGAAAGTATCATACTATTGACTGTATGGCATTTTCAGTCCCATTTTGAGTTAGTCCTGGAGTTGTTACATCAAAAGGTCATTACTTCGAATTTTACTCAGACATTGTTCGTATGCATGTAGTTTTTTTCTTGCCTGCCCAATCTTAAGCTCACTGTTAAGTGTTAACAATACTTAAATCGTGTTAGTTATTTCTTAATCCAATCAAAACGTTGTTTTGCCGAATTAATTGTCAAGAGAAGTACTTAGCCTGGATTTGCTCAAGGATGGAGTCTTCTAACAAGTAGGGTTGTAAACGAGCCAGAAACCGAGCTCGAGCTCGGCTTTGTTAAGGCCTCGAGCTTGGATCTTAATGAGCCAATCTCGAGCTTTAATGAGCCGAATTATAAAAAATTATATAAAGATTCTATTGTGGAGCTTTAACGAGCCTTATCGAAGCGAGGTCTTAACCAAATGAGTTTTAAATGAGCCCGAGCTCGACTCATTACGGCCTCGAACTCGAGCCTTAACGTGCCGAGCTCGAGTCGAGCCGAACTGAGCCAGACTCGTTTAATTTAACAACACTACTAACAAGTAACAATCCTCTTTTAATCTTTCAAGAATGAGATATTCATAGTAATAGACTAATAGTTGTGTTAAAATTGTTGGTGTGTTTTTAGTTTAAGTCTGATGTATATACCCATAGCAAGCGCACCTATGATGGGCCTAGAACTCTCCCACTATGGAACCAACTGTTGGTTTCATAGCAAAATCGTTAAATTTTAAATGTATATGTTATTTTAGTAGGTAAATTTCGTATCGACTTGCTATTTTCCCCATTAAAATAATACATAAATTACTATATTGTTTGAATATATATACATATTTTTATTTATTTTACATATACTATGCAATACAAAGTTACAAACGTTAAATTAAAAATTGTTAAGAGATAGTCAGTGTGTACTGCAGCTCATCAGCTCATTCATGGTACCGGTCCACTTCTTGGGGCTCATGAGGCCTTGGTCAAGGCCATTAGACACTTGCTTCAGAAGGAGTGGACAATTCAACTCCATCATGTGCATCGAGAGGCGAACTTCGCTGCGGATCGTTTGGCGAGCTTGGCGTCGGCGGTTCCAGTTGTTCTTCATGTGTTAACCACGCCCCCTCCAACATTGGGTGATTGGCTCGAGCATGATGCGATCGGGGTGTCTTATCCCTGCCAAATTATAGTCTAGACCTAGGCCTCGGCCTCCTTTTTTTTGTACCCAAAAAAAAAAAAAATTGTTAAGAGATAATAAATTGGACATATTATATAAGGATAGATAAAAACTATAAAAATATTAAATTTAAAATGCAATAAAGAAACATATAGTGATTAGTATATGAAATTAAATAAAAAAAAAAAGAAGCAAATAATATACTACAAAACATGTAGTATTACTTAGGGTTAATTGCAGGGAAAACTATAACCTTTTGGTTAATTGCAAATAAAACTCATCTTTTTTATTTGACAAGAAAATACCCAATCTTTGATAAGTATTGCAAATTTGTCTCGAAAACATATTCCGGCCAATTCTGCTGACATGGCTTATCGAAAAAATGACGTGGCATCCACATCAGCGTACACGTAAGACGCCATGTCACTTAGACGCCATGTCACTCAAAACCTCTCCGCCTATCCCGCCTCCCTCAAAACCTCTCCGCCCTGTCCCGCCTCGTAGCCCTCAATCTCCAAGACAACCAAATCACCGGCCAAATCCCCAAATCCCTAGATTCACTCCCAAATCTCTGCCATCTGAAGCTCTCTGCCTTAATTCCACCAATTGCTCTTCATCCACCAATTCAAATCCAACCTCTTCCCCAACTCCACCGGAAAATCAACCCAAAAGGATGAACAAAAGAACATTAATATCCCTAACAACACTAATTTCGATTATACTGCTCATACTCTTCTCGTGGCGATATTCCTCTACTGCTGCCGGAAAACCAAAACCGACTCGACAAATTCGCTAGCGGCAAGTGAGGGCGGAAAACGAAGCAGCCACTCGAGCCATAAGGGGTTTATAGATAACGAAGGAGGTACGGGCCCCACGCATACAAACTGGCTCGTTTTCTTCGACGAGAATAATCGATTTGAGCTCGAGGATTTGCTCCGTGCATCGGCTGAGGTGCTCGGGAAGGGTAATTTGGGCACGGTTTACAAGGCCGTGCTCGTGGGCAACGGGGGAACTGCGGCGGTGAAGTGGTTGAAGGACATTAGCTCGTCTGACCGAAAAGAATTCGAGCGGTGTATGGATTTGATCGAGAATTTGAGGCATCCGAACATCGTCTTTTTCTTGTTCTGCAAATGATTTAAAATAGGGATTTTTTTTTTCTTTCCTAATTTTATGTTTAATAAATAAAAATGATGTGGCATCTAAGTGACATGGCGTCCTACGTGTACGCTGACGTGGATGTCACATCATTTTTCCGATAAGCCATGTCAGCAGAATTGGCCGGAATATGTTTTCGAGACAAATTTGCAATACTTATCAAAGGTTGGGTATTTTCTTGCTAAATTAAAAAAGATGAGTTTTATTTGCAATTAATCAAAAGGTTATGGTTTTTCCTGCAATTAACCCTATTACTTATACTGAAATTACATACACACAGTGGATAGTTTGTGGAAGTTGAGTTTGAATATGTAGTAGTAATAGTAAAATTGTGATACGTGTGAAAAGACTTTGAGGCAAACGCCGATTGGAAAATGTCTGTGCCAACTGCCAATACAAAGCTCAACGCCCCCACTCACAAGCGCGTACACTCCCAACAAACCTCTATTTATATACACAAAACCATGGCCATGGCCGACTGAAGAAAAAAAAAAAAAAAGGAAAGGTGTGCAGAATTTTCTCGAAACTCCCAATTTCCCCAAATCTCGATATCCCATTTCATTTTGCTTATCAATTGTCTGTCTTCCCACATGAGGATCCGTGGAAGAAAGTCCTTTTCCGATTCAGATCACTGCTCCATCTCCTCGTCTTCTTCCTCATCCCATCACTCATCATCAATCACGGCGGCTCATTCTCTGTCCTCCTCCCAGAGCTCGTCCGATTCTTCCCCCGCGCGGCCGTTTACGGCGGCCGGAGGATCGTCCACGCATCGGTGCCGCGGGCTCGATCTGCTGGTGAAAGCGATCCACCAGGTGGACGCCGGCTCGGCCGTCGGCGTGCCGTACATACAGCGCCGGGTCACCATCCGGCGGAGGAGGAGGCTGCGGCGGGATCTGGAGTTTGGCGTCCTGGCCTTGGGCTGCGAATTCTTCAGGATTAAGGGGAATGATTTGAGATCTTAGCCAGCGTTCGATCCTCCTTCCAGTGAGTATCGTTTGGTTCGTTATGGTGTGTGTAGTTTTATGAGAGCCCGTCTTTTGTTTATCTTTGTATCGGATTATTATGGTATCGATCTGCTTTGACCTTTGAGCTGATCGGAAAATTTTGGTGTAACGGAGTT